TTTATTGTCTCTCTTCTGTATAATTTAAAGTCATTCAGGTGTATATTTTTTTCATGAGAATATATGCATTTTTTATCGATAACATTGTTGATAAATTTTAATGTTTTGATATGCGCGTTGCGCAAACTTATCTATTAGTTTAATATTGATTTTTTATATTATTATTATGTATATTATTACTTTATATTATAATGTTATCTTTTTATAATGTATTGTTTTTTAATTTTTTGTCCAAAAATATGTATATGTAAATTGTATATTTCTTTTTTTTTAATATAGATTATGATGTATTATATTAATTATTAAAAACTATCTCGTATATTTATATGTTGCAATAAGTGTTATATGTGTCCTAACTGTTTAACTGTATTCAACTGGTTTTTGATTTTTTTTACAGTTCATTTTCACTGATAAAGTAAAATCATTATCGACCATTTCCCACTCTAAACTAAATGTTCTCTTAATTTTTTTTATCGGATTTTCAAAAAATCTAACTCATTTTTTATCATTCATTTTTTTTCTTTTTCCTAATGTTCTTAGTCATATTGTTCTGATTACAATCACCGATATTTTCTTTTATTTCATGTAAACTTTCGTCTCATTCAATTTTGTGATTGGTTGTAATTCTAAATGAGGGGAATTGTAAGTAAATTTGGCGAGACAGAGCAAGAGATCTGTTCATATGTTACATAAGCTTGATATGTTTTTATATATAAAAATTATGCTTACTTGAGAAACTTTTGATTTTAATTGATTTCAAACATTTGTCTTTTTTTAAAAAAAAATTCCGATGTGTTCATCCATCTGATGATGATGAACTACTTGACTATATTTGTGAATGTGTGTGAAAATATTCTTATCTATTTTCATGTCATGTGGAGGTAAAAAACTTGACTTTGTTAGAAAATATAATCAATAATCTTGTAATAGTTTATTCATATAGTTCATATTAAAATTCATAAATTATCCGGTTGATGAGTAAACTCATCGAATATCAATTTTATATTGCCATCATTGAGAAAAAATGGTTGATAAGTATTTGCCATTTTTTTCTATTTTGTATTAATCAAACTTATTTATGTACTATTTAATTAAACATTTTAGGTTTTTATTTATAAAAAATATTTATTCATTTTACATAGTAAAGTAGATATAAATGATTTTTATTTATTTTATGCATTAATCTTTTTGAGAATTTAAAAAAAAAAGATTGATAACTATTCTCTGCAAGTTCTTATGTCGTTTTTCGTAATTGTTTACCTTTCAACTCTTTTTCACACTCTATTTATTTATATTCAAAATAACTCTTTTCATATTCTATTTATTTATATTCAAAATAACATTTTGAATTTTTTATTTGATAGAAAATTTATGTTTTATGATCTGTAAAATAAGTATTTATTTTATATGAATGATTTTACTTTAGTTTTATACATAAATCTTTCTAAGGTTTTTTTATAAAACGTTTTGAGAATTATTTTCTGTAATTTATTCAGCCATCTTTTGTATGTGTTTGCCTTCCAAATTCTTTTTCATAAACAAAGAACATAAGTTTGTAATTTTATGACTTGTAAAATAAGTACTTGTTTTTAATTTAAAATTTATCATATTAAAAGCCCATAAATAATAACCCAAAATATAAAAACATAAAAACAAAACCCAAAATATTGAGAAGCTCATTTTGAAATAAAAATTATGCTAATGTAGACACCTTAGATGGAGAGATAACTTGCTCATTATATATACTAGGTATATAACTCGTGCTACGCGAGAGTCTGTATTAATATTTTAGTTTATTTTTTTAGCTACTATCTTTAAAATTATTAAAAATTATATATATTTATCGAAATTTTTCATTTATATAAGAGAATTTAATATATAATGTGTAATTTATCCTGTTTTTATTTATAAAATTTAAAAAACTATTAGGTAAAATAATAACAATGACACCTATCACATTATCTAAGTTGACGTACATATACATTTGATTTAGATAAATATAATCTTGCTAAGATTTTGGTATTATTTTCTTTTTTTCATAGAATTCCTATAGTTCTTTTTTTTTCTTGAAAGTTTATGTTTCAAATATTTCGTTTTTTATTGAAAGTCTTATTAATGTTGTGTACCACTGTATATATAATCCATGATTCATGTTGATTCACATTTAATTTTGTTAGGAAGTTGTAATGCTCATGCAAAACCATTTTTTCCTTCTCCATCATGTCTTCCAAAAGTTTTATGTTATATTTTTATTCAGTTTTCTTTGTTTTAATTGTTAAATCGAGTTGCTGTAATAATTGATAATGGTTTAGTTTTTTATACATGTATTGTTAATTGTTAATTTTTCATTTAACTTTTAAATTTTTAGAACAATATTAACATTTTCTGATTTAATAGATATGTTGATTTCGATCAATCAGATTGAATTTACTTTTTTTGTTGGACATAATTTGTTAAATTAACTATTAATGTTTTAAGTATACTTAATAATTTTGGTTAGATTTAAAAGCTGATGTGGACCTATTAAATTAAGTTTTTCCATCCTAATCATACTTAACATTTTTTTATTTGATGAATATGCTGGTGTGGACCAATCAGATCGAGTTTTTTAATCACATGTGGATGCCCTCAATGCACTATGCCATCAACTTTTATATATTACTAGGTATATAACTCGTGCTACGCGTGAGTCTGTATTAATTTTTTGTGTAAGTTTTTTAGCTACTATCTTTAAAATTATAAAAAATATAATATATTTATAGAAATTTTTATTTATATAAAAGAATTTAATATATAATGTGTAATTTATCCTATTTTTATTTATAAATTTGAAAAAACTATTAAGTAAAATAATAACAATGACATCTATCGAATTATCCAACTTTGACGTACATATACATTTGATTTAGAGAAATATAATCTTGCTAAGATTTTGGTATTATTTTCTGTTTTCCATAAAATTTCTATAGTTTTTTTTTCTTGAAGGATTATGTGTTCAAGTATTTAGTTTTTTATTTAAAGTCTTATTGATGTTGTGTACCACTGCATATATTATCCATGATTCATGTTGATTCGCATTTAATTTTGTTAGGAAGCTGGAATGATCATGAAAAACTATTTTTTCCTTCTCCATCATGTCTTTCAAGAACTTTATGTTATATTTTTATTCAGTTTTCATTATTTTAATTGTTAAATCGAGTTGTTGTAGACTTTTGTAAATTGATAATTATTAATTTTTTAAAAAACATGTATTGTTAATTGTTATTTTTTTTATTTAACTTTTAAAATTTTAAACCATATTAATATTTTTTGATTTAATAAGTATGTTGATTTGGATCAATCGGATTGAATTTACTTTTTTTGTTGGACATAGTTTGTTAAATTAACTTTTAATATTTTAATTATTTTTAATAATTTTTAGGATGATTAAAAAGCTGATGTGGACCAATTAAATCAAGTTTTTTCGTCCTAATCATACTTAACATTTTTTTATTTAATGAATATGCTGATGTGGACCAATCAGATCGAGTTTTTTAATCACATGTGGACGACCTCAATGCACTATGTCATCAACTTTTATATATTATATGATTTATAGTTAATACCAATATTTTAAAAATCATAAATTTTCTGGAACTAAATTTCAAACTAATTTTCTTTTTAGATTTTGTGTTTTTTTGTTATTTTACATAACATTCTATAGTAATTTTATATTTTATTTTAATTTATATAAATTTTTTGCAAGTTTAATATACTTAAAACACACACACATATATATATTATTTTTAATTAGCCTCTTTTGTTATTGATTTTTTAAATAGATACCAAATATATCAACTTAATCTCTTTTACATAAATATTTTTTAATATATATTTAAATTCATGTAATTTAAAAATATATTTAATATAGAAACTCGTGGAATTTATTGCAACTTCAAGTGGTAATTTATAGTTGATATCAATACTTAAGTAATAAAATATTTTGTAGACTAAATTTTAAATTATTTTCTTTTAGAAGTTTTTTTGTTAATATAAATCTTTTAACATTGGTTTTATATTTCATTTTGGCATATACGATTTCCTGTTATTATTTTATTTTTTATTTGTTAAAATTTCTTGTTATTGATATTTCAAGAGTTAGTTGAGAAATCATGTTAATTTTCTTTTTAGATGTTTTTTTAAATATTTTTCATTTAGATTTTCATGATTTTTATTTTATTTTAACACCTATGTTTCTTTTAAGTCATTAATATTTTTTAAGACATAGTTATTTTTTGTTAGATAGGCTTTTTGATAATTTTTCAAAGATTTAACTTAATTGCTTTATATTTTTTGATAAAGCATTAATAAATATTATTTATCATATGCATATAACATATTTGTTTCTTTAAATGAATCTAGAACATATATGTTTCATTGAATAATTTGAAAACTGACCAAAAATATTTATTTTAATTTAATTGTTCATATTAATAATTGTTTAACCTATTAAAATTTCGAAATAGTTTAATTATAGTCTTAAATACAGTTGTTTTAATTATTTTGTTTAATTTCTATGATTTTTCTTAAATAATCTAATAATATGTTAATTTTCTATTTATTTTTAATATGAAAAGAAGATTTAATTTTCTTACTTTCTAAATTCTTTCTTATCAATAACTATTTTAAAATTTATAAACTTTCTTAATAGCAACAAAAAAAATAATTAAAATTTAGAAACTTTTCTAATTGTAATTAAAACGAAATTAATTTTTTTTTATATACAAACAAAAAAATTAATTAAAATTTAGAAACTTTCCTATTAGTAATAAAAACGAAATTAATTAATTTTTATATATAATTACATATAAATAATGATGTGTACCAATAGAATTGAATCTTTAAAATCATATGTGGACACTCTTAGAGGTATTTAACATCAACTTTTATTAGTAATAGATATGATGATTTTAAATTTTAGTAAGTGTTGGTTATCAAGAATGAGATTAAAGAAAGCCCATCTAGAATTCTAATGTTTCAAATGAAAAAGTGTTTCCAAATAGAAACAACAAGGGTAAAGTAAAACTAAGTAGTGTGAAAAGCATGCTATACCTTCGACATCATCAAAGAAACCACTGAATTGGTTGCCTCCTAGTCCATGCCATGAAAAGTTCAGAATTCGAACCTCTTCAAAGGGATGCAGCAAAGAAAGATTTAGGAGAAACCTCTCTTTAAACATCGGCTTGCCAAAGGAAATCCCGATAACCCGACCACTTGAACGATTGCACTCAACACCGTTCCATCGACAGCAATTGCTCTTCGTGTCATTAGTCCAAGTAGGGAGAACAGATCTTCCTTGTAGACTCTTTGGGATCATGTATTTCTTGATCTCCCACAACGCTTTCCTTTCTTCCTGAACACAACTTGTGTATCCATGTAGCTGCCCCAATAGTGCTAACAAAACCCATATTATATTTTGACCCAAGAACCCTTTCATTTGATTGAGAACTACAAAAACGAGAACTAAGAAAATGGGATTGTATGTTTGGTGTCCAGTGGGTGGTCTATCCTTTTGAATTGTTATATTTAAAGTAGGTTTTGGTGTCCATTAAAGTAGATTTTAAATCCTATATTTGCAGTGTCAAAATGAGTTGGTAAAAACCAAATTGTGTATAATAAATATATTTGACCAAGTCATGTGGAATGATATTCGTATTAGGTAAGACTTTCAAAGTTTAACTTTAGATTAAACCTTAAAATAATCGTATTAGGTAAGACTTTCAAAGATTTATGCTTAGTATTTTATAATTTGCACCACGAAGGTGCTTTCTCTATCAATTGGATTACATCAATTCTATTATAAAGTTACCAACTATCAAAGGTTGACCCGTCTCCACGAGATAGCGTAATCAAATACTTACAATACAAGACTGCAAAACTAAAAACTAGAGATTATCAGAAATGATCCTTCCTGCTACTAACAAGATCATTAACAAGCTCATTGTCATCTTCACATTGTTCAAGCAGAGGTTTGTACGCCGGATTGTGATCCACTACTACTCGTAAAATCTTTGCAGCTTCATGACTCTGCCCTCCTTTGTACAAAGCGCTGCAATAACAACGCAAAAAACAAACCTTTTGTTATTCACATTTCGCACACAATTTAGTCCTGCGTATATGCATCTTTACCAAAAAGTAGTACCTAGAAAGAAGCAACAATGCTTCAAAGTAATGCTCTTTGCTTTTAGGATCACCAGGCTCTTTCAGTTTTGCTACTCTCTCCAAGTGTGTGATTCCGCTTTTCATATTTCCCTGCAAGAAAGCTCCGCACGGCTTCAAATCGGCTTTTAACCAAATCCACGAATAAAAATACAATTCAAAGATTCACAAAATCGATTTTATCAAGTATTGAAAGGTGACTAGAATTGCAGAACAGAGATAAGAGACCTTCACATCGGAACTAAGCAAAGGTATAACAGACTAAAGATTTCTCATTCAGGACCTGAGACATTTTGATGTAAAATCAAAAACAATAATTTGTCAAACCTGTTGTACGTATGCAGCACCAGCCCATTGAGATGCAAGCATTAAAAGTTCAACATCCTCAGCATCAGATGCAGCCCCATCAAGAAGCTGAGAAAGAAACAATAGAATAGTGTTGCTAAGTTAAAGAGTCCCAAGCACCTAATCTTACAACACAGTCGATAAGCAGAATGAACTGACACGATAGGTCTGCAGAACAAGAAGAGACAAATAGTCCGACAGATATCGGAAATCCGAATCCATTTGACCTCAAGATTACAAATCAGGAAAGAGTTAGAGGCTGGAATTTCTAACCTTGGAGATAGCAAGCTCTAAATATTCAGTAGCTTCAGACAACTGCGTCTTCTGCAACAAAGTCTGCCCCATGAGAACCAAACCTCTTACATATTCAGGGTCCTTGTCAAGAGCTAATCTACAAAAAGATTTATAATACTCATGCCGTGAACATGGCTATGTTCATATAAGTAAAGAACACTAGAAGACCAAGAGAAAAGTCTTTGCAAATACACACCGAAGTAACTGAATGGATGAATCTTTATCACCTTTCGACAAGACCTGAACTGAAAGCTGACACCAAATCCAATTAAAGAATAAATGTAACATACAAGTAGACATGATCAATAGATATTCATTTTACACTACTTACAGAAAGAAGTTCCTCTGGTGTTAAAGTCTGTAGAGAAAGGGTCTGCTCTTTTAAGTCAGAGTCGACATACTTGATAACCGATTCACTGATCTCCATGGAATGCTCAACGCCTGGGGAAGGCCCCTGACTTAGTAAACCAAGTTTTGCTGACACCGTAGGGTGCTTGAGAGATAATTGCTGCAAAGTTGAGATTTCTCGGTGAAGAATTTACACATTCTAACATCATATACCCAAAGTCAATACAGAGTCACCGGTACAGTATCTAATACACTTGTTTAAGAACGAAAAGCAAATCACTTGTGATACCACAAACATAACTGTCATTTAACGTTTGAATCTAGATATTTAACAAGTGCAGCCACTAATTTCAATTAATCAATTCTGCCACGGCAAACTAAACTACCAGTCAGTCCATTACAACATATGGGTTTGTTTTTTAATCTTCAGTTGTAGAAAACAACATACAACCAAGAAGAAAAAGAACAAAAAAACCATGTTTTCTTCGGTTTATATTAATCGAAAGCAAACTAACTCCATTCCCGATTCCTCAATGCTAGGAAGACGAAGCAGGGAAATCCAATTTCCACTGCGAATTATGAAATGAGACTAGATAGCATACCTGAATTATATTTACTGAGCTGTTGGTTACCCAATAGACAAGACTTCCCTGGAAAATAAAAATAAAAATGCCAAGATTGTGGCACAAAAACAGCGGTATCAGATCTGGTTTCATAGACATATAACTCGGAAATTTTAATGTGAGAAGCAAAAATAGACGACAATTCAAATTTTGCAGGAAAAAGATAAATGGGAGAAAAGGCGTAGGTAGAATAAACCGAAGAAGAGGGCTAGTGTCAGATAATCACATGACTAAATAAACAACACACGCTGACACAAGAAGGTAGATTCGTTTGGTAATTAGTAGAGAGAGAGCCAAAAGTCCAAAAGATGAAGCTTTGGGTAAGAATAAGCCGGTAGAAAGATTTCTAGACTAAGTGATAAATTATAAACCGCTGAGGAAAGAGATGGAAGAAATACTTACCTGTGGAATAGCATAGCCGACAAAGAACAGAGGAACACTAAGGACCTCCAAATATAACTTGTAATACTGCAAACACAGAAGCAAGTACAATCATCAGACTCTAGACATATGAAATCTAATATTAATAGCTAAAAGGTTTGTTAAACTCACTCTCATGAGCAACCCGGTCAAGCCAGTAGTTTGACGAACTGTGGATGAATCAAAAAAAATCTGGAAACGGGAGTAGAAGTTAGAAGCATAATACTACTGTCACCTGCAACAATGCAGAACAAACAAATTCTAAAGAGTAGCAAGCAAAGTATTGATCCCATGGACATATTTTCCAAGTTCCAAGTATTCGCGAAAACCTGTATGTTAATGTAATGGAAGATAGCAATTAAAATTGGAAAGACTGGTCCAAAAGAGCCAGCAGGAAGATCAATCAGATTCTGGAACCATAAGGCACCACCCTGAAAAGAAAAGATAGCAGCACAGTCTAAGAAGTAATAAATATTTCAATTACAACAACTATACTATATATTATGCAAATAGAAGACAAGTCACATCTCACATATAAAGTCTACTTCAACTATAAAGTACAAAAGGAAAATATAAGTAATCCTAAAACCGACGATCTAGCCTACTCAGATTGCAGCCATATAGACATATGGTAACGTTTGAGTTGATGGCAAAGAAGATTTCTTTCTTCATCAGAATCAAGCAAGTCAGAAACTTTTTCATTTGCCTAATCTCATTTAGAACTTTTAGAATATACGAAAACATACACTAAGAGCCCACCCACCCACTACTATTCAAAGCTAGCCTGTGTTTGGAAACCAAACTACTTTGCCTTTAAAGACTAAATTATATGAGACAAACGAATATAGTTGTTTTCCTATACGGTAAAGCAAAACTTAAAGTATTATAGTTGCCTCAGCAGAACAAGGAGCAATGGCATAAACATTTGAGTAATCAGATCAGAAGGAAACTACTACTGTAACTTTGTGACTATACAAGTCAAAATTCTTATGTAGTCTCAACTTACAGAATCAAACCCAGGATGACCATCAAGTGACATCTTCCGGATGCTAGCCATCAACAGGAAAAAGCATGGGAGCTGCAAATGATGACAGGCAAAGGGTATGTGAGAACAAATATGACGCATCCATCAACGTAGAAAAGTCTATATCAATTTGTAAGGAAAGCCAAGGATCAGGATTCAATAAAGGTGGTGTCAAACAGATATACAAGCATGATGTACCATATGGATCTTTCTGCACAAGGGTCAACTCTAATCCCAAAGCAGAAGCCTTGTTCCATTGTGGCGATTAGATCTAATACAACAGCCTCACTATGACACCAAGCAAACACGAGCAAACTGACGATTGGATCACGGACAAAAACCAAGGACAAGTGAATTTAAAGGAAGTATAATCTAAACTCATCCACCACTCTCATTGCTAGCTCAGTACACTTAAGTGGCTAAGTGCACAAGGAAACATACAAAGAGAACTAAGAGGAAAATAAAGCTTATATCAAAGAGAAGAAACCACAAGTTAAGTGGTCAATAGAGTGTCTAAAAACGAGTACCATACAAGAAACCAAGATAAAAAAAAAAAAAAAAACTCAAAGCATGACTGTTTCTTTTGCAGAATTCCACAACAACTTGGTTTATTTAGGAGAAGGAGATGAGTTACCAAAAAAAATCATGAAGAGGTTTAATTGCGTAGAAGATGTTTTTACCTGGACCGATAAATATGGGAAGAACCACAAAAAGGAGGGGCAACCAATCGCTCGGCTTTCTTTAAGAAAGAGAGAAAATTGGTCAATAGAGCTTCTTAATGCTGGAGTCTCTGGGACCGGCATAGGCACTGCGAGGAAAATGAACAGAAAGATTGGCTTTTTAACTTCATCAACACCAAAAAATATTTGAGAAACGAGCAAATAGCATACACCATGATCAATACTAGCTCGGAACAGTATATGGAAATTATCGGTGACCTATTGGTAAGAGAACGCTTATTCGCTAATCATCCTAGTTTAACAATATGAAGACAAAAACCGGAGGCAAAGCTATGTAGCCGTCAAGATGATAACTAGATTATAAAAATAGCAGTAGAAAGAATTTAAGAGGAAGAAGGAAGCACTAACACTGAGGTAACAACTCTGAAATCCTCTTCAGTTTCTTGAGTTGAAGAATGAGTAAAGGCAACAATGCTAATCTGACAGCAACAGTAGACGATGCAATAACCATCCACCAAGGCAACCCTGTAAACTGTTGCAGCCCGTCGAGGAGATCAACGACGGCGAGAACCGGCAAAGAAGAAGAATCATCGTTGAGGGTTTCTTGAAACCCGATTGGGAATTCTGGCACAGACGAGAACAATCGACGGCGGTGAGAGGAGAACCACGGGGAGTGAGATGGAGGGGATGGCGATGGCGACGGAGAGAAGAGAGGGTCGGCGGTAAAGGAAGGAGGGTGGGAGAAGAAGAGGACAGAGAGGGAAGAGAAACGGTGACGCGTTGGAGAGAGAGAGGAGGCGCGTAAGCAACTCCACACGGCCATTTACAGTTTTTGGTTTCTTGAAGAGTTTTTTTTTTGTGTGGTCGTCGCTACCCACAAAGGGTCGAACAGGGGAATTACATTTCAAATTAAGAAATCTATATCTATACCTTTTCTCTCTTCTCATGCAGCCACCTCAGCATTTCAATCAGATGCCACCTCATTTCTTTTTTTCTCACAGCTAAAACTAACATAAATAACAGTTCATCACAGTATCCACTAATCAAAAGTATTACTTTACTCTCTTCAATTCCACTGTCCACTACTCAAATCCTCCATTTAATTCTCTAGCCCATCTTCCCACATATAAATACCACACTATATCCTCATCATTTTCTTCATACTCTAAAGCATATCTCCTCTCAACAACGATCTCATGGCAGGTGCCTATCTTGAATTCTCTGATCTCAAATTAGTCTCACTCCTTCATATCTCAGCCTCCTTCTCATGCAATACTTCATAAAAATACATAACTAACCAAAACAAAACACACATCTTTCCTCTCCAGCGGTCAGAAGATCTGTCTTAGTGCATTTGACGAATATGAAGCCATCAATAATGTGCAACCCAAACGAACTAGATAACAGATGCCATCACTGTTACTACTACAAACAGATTGTCAAGTTTGTGTACATCATTTAGACATCAAAGAAAAACTATTGTGACGCAACCACAGAATCTTATGTTGTTATTCAACCAAACGTTATTTTAGTTAATCTCCATAACTCTTCGCAATACATAGATACACATTTTTCCAAATTTTCATGCTGCCAGTTTAAAACAAATATTATCTCTACGGACAAACAATATAGAAACCATTTAAGTTAAGGCTTTCTCAAGACGTCCCAATTCTATGAAAACACATAAGATAAAAACGCAACTTAACATAATCCAAGCCAAATACAAGATCTTCGAAACCAACAATGAAACACGAACAATTAAACAGTCTAGATTAAGCCTCTACACACCAACAAGTTATGCCTCAACTTATGAGCTTTAAAAAATCATGTTTTCAACTCTTCTATCACGAAACATAAACGAACGACTAAATTAATATAACTCAAAAAATAATTGTATAAAAATCAACTTCAAAAATGCGTTTATTATATTAACATTTATATTTCATATGAATGAAATAAAAAGCAATTACATCAGTGAGTCCACAAAAAAATAACTTAATAAGATAAGTTGATATTAATAGAAAAATAACCGACTATGTGAAATGACGCTCATGCAGGCAAACATTGCTTCCATTAAGAGCACACTATACGTGAGACAAACAAGACGATTAAAACATACTAGATTAAAACATACCAAATTATGTGGCACAATTATATAACATTAGAATTTAATAATAAAAACCATTAGAACAGGAATTAGAAAATGACAAAAATAAATAAATAAAACAATAAAAGTATCAGATCGGAAAAATAAAAATATAATCCAATAACAACAACTGAAAACATAAACATAAATATAACATAAGGTACACATCAACGCATAGCTCGCCTACTCTACGCATACCTTATTATTACAAGAAAAACTAACTCTTACAAATTACAAAACATAAGCATACCAACATTAATTATTTCAAACAGTGGCAGATAGTACATAATAAAATTATACAATCAAATTTAATAGTTTTTTTATATAAAATGACGTATACACTCGCGCGAAGCGCGGGTTAACTCCTAGTCTAAATAAAAAGAAGAAGCTTGAGGCTCCTAAAACCATCCACATCATCAAAATAAATATTTCTATAATCATATCACATCAGTAAACCTCTAAAAAATAATTTTTAATATATTAATAATATACTTAAAATTAAATAATATTTAATCAATAATAATAGTAATATTTGTATATTGACTAAATTGTATGTACTATAGTAACAAAACATATGACATATAACTTGATTTTAATAAAAAATATATATTATATAATATTTTAAATTCTTACAATTCAAATTAATAATAGTCATATGTTTAAACTAAAAATCGAAAAGATATAATATTATAAGGTACTTAGTTCATCCACATAATAATTAAAAGGATCAAATATGTATGATTATGTACACACTATTTCTATATTTTTGGTTAAATACTTTTAGACATAAATTAAATTAATTACAGTATAGTATGAATCATCGGTATAGTCATGCATATGTAAAAATAGACTTGCATAGCTTTATATTAAATATTAATATATTACACTTCCATATTTAAAAATATTATATATATAATTTTATATAAAATAAAATGTCATAAAAACTTCTCTAACCATCTACATCAACAAAAAAGAAATTCTTTACAAACTCAACATGTAAGGAAAACTAATATGTTTTTTTTTTGGTTAAGAAACTCTTTTAAATATTTAATTTAACTATAAAATTTCACCAAAATATATATATGTAGTGTAAGAAAAATATCTAAGTTAAATTACAAGAAAATGCAAATGAACCTTTTACACATTTTCAGTTTTGAGAAACTCTACATACTTTGTTTAATAGAATGAGTTAGTATGAAGTTGTATTTGTATACGTCTTACTTGTTTTATTCATCTACTCTTCTATAGTTTACCGATGCTTCAGAGACCAAATGAAAAATGTAGTTTATCAATATAATTATGATTTTGTATAATATGTAATTGTTATTTTTATTTATATGATTTATTTAAATGAAAAATAGTTCTTATACGGATTTGTAAAAGTTTTGAACATTGACTGTTATTTTGTATTTAAGACTACTCATAAAAAAAAATCATAACACGAACACAATTGAAATGAAATGAAACCTAAATTAATTAGAACAAGATATAGGTATTTCAGTTTGTATTCATATGTTTGATAAGTAATTTTGGTTAATAAATTTATTTTTTTAAATTAAAAAAAAAACAGAAAACTTATAATTGTTAAGTTCAATTATATATCAAATTTAGTTAAAGCAAAAATAATTTTAGTAGTAGTTTGAAAGTTGGTGAGCAGTAATGAGTTTATATATAAATATTAAGTTTTAGATTAATAATTAATTTTACATATATCAAAGTTAGTAAATTCTTAAATTAAATCATAAAATATTTTCCAAATACGTTAAAATGTTTTAGATGTATGACCACATCAAAATGATATTAAAAATAAATATTATATATAAAATAATAATTTACAGTTAAAATAATTTCACTAAAATAAAAAATTAATAATCAAATATTTATGAAAACAATCCGCACGTAGCACGACAATAACCCTAGTACTAAATAAAATGAGCTGTTTGGGGTTCCTTAGGCTAGCCACCTCAGCATTTTTTATCTTCTCCCAAATGCTGCCACATAAGCACACTTGATTTTACCAATTGACAACAACCAAAAAATCTTCTCTACGGAATTCACAACAGAGCTTAATTTATTTGTATGTACATCTTTTTAAGTTACAAATCACTTTGGAAACTGAAACGCTTTATTTCTTCTCTATATCTTACTATAATCAAAACCCTCATTCTTCCCTCTTTTCATTGTCATTTGTTCTTCTCCAACTCATTATTAGTCACTCCTTATTTCTACAATTCACTCAACTTTTCTTCTTAAGAAGCCAAATTTACAAGCCTCTATTCACATATAATAATACTCTAAAATTCCACAAATTGGGTATGAGAGATCTAAAAAATTCCACTACCAAGAGCTCTTCCACTATCAAGTCCATCAACAATATTACCCGAGGCGTAGGCAAATGATCGAAACGATTCCTCGCCAATAAAGTGACGAGATATGGTCTGGAGAAAGAGAAGACTGGTTTGGGCACTTAGGCACATGGTTAGATTTAAAATGCTTTGTATGTGTTGATTAAGTTGATGATAGTCTGAAAAATCATTGTTTTCTACAGAAGCTTGCGAGTGTGAGCATGCATAATGTTGTTTACTTTAGGTTATCATGATGGAAAACAGTCTTTACCCATTCAAGCAAAGATTTGATCCTAACCAGCAAAAATTTGAAGTCCCTTATATTTCTTCGTGTGTGTCCTTATTTTAGAAGGTGTCCCTATTTCTTCATCGTTTCTAACTGATTTGTAAGCTCTATAGTTCTGAATATATTAATGGTCATTATGGTATGGTATTGTATGGACGTAGTCACGTAGGGTAATAAATTGAATTCAGATGAGGTACGTATGTCTCCATATTCAGTATTTGTCGTAAAACTTTTCACCAACTGATTAGTGTCTTAAATTTATAGTACGTAGTTCCGGACTGCTTGCTCTTCAACGCTTGTGTCTGATAAATCTAGATTTGTGGGCTTTATAACTCATGTAATCTCCAGTCTCCAGAGCCGTGTGTCATACGATCCAGGTTTCTAATTTCTTCACCAAAGATACTTGCTTATGCTTTATATATTTCTGTAAATTAACAGAGACATAAATATGTGGATCAGGATTGGGGATTTGACTTTGCAGTCTGAAGGTATGCAATGAGGTACTAAAGGATAATACACATGTTGCTTAGTGTTAGACAATGTATTTTGGGCTTAATAATCAGAGTGTGACTCATTTCAATTTTGTTGCAATCAAACAGCCTGCACATATATAGAGTTCAGCAAATGATGAGGATTTAAGAAGGTTTGATTTATATAATTTTTTAAAAAGATTTTGCTTACCTCTGAGTTACTACCAAATAATTTTAGCATCATCGAGAGAAAATATCGTTGGGATCGAACTGATGTTCCAATTCGACAAGGTAGCAACTCAATGGTCACTGTATGGTGCCACGCTCATTTTCCTGGTGAATGTTCACAGTTTTGAAAGTATATCAAGTTGTGAATTTTATTCATCATAATGTACACATTTAAAATTCTCAAAAAGTATGATTTACTTACAGTTTTATACTTTTATCATCTATATCTATATTGATTGATATATGTTCATCTGAGTAAAAAGCTTGCCTCTCAATATTGCTCAATGATTGCTTCAGTTACGCCTCCAAGTCTCTACTTCAGATCTCATGATTCTCTTTTATGTTATACTATGGCAACTGAAGCCAGCATCCACCATTGAGGATGATAACCATAGCGATTCATTGATAATCATGA